TCCTCTGCCTACAGTGCCAGATTCCATATGGGCGCCGGTCCTAGTCCTGGCTGCTCCTCTTCCAATCCAGCTCTCTGCTGTGGCCTGAGAAAGCAGTGGAGGATGGCCCAAGTGCTTGGGCTCCTGCACCCGCATGGGAGACCAGGAAGCAGCTCCTGGCTCCTGGCTTCGGATCGGCGCAGCTCCGGCCATTGCAGCCATCTGGGGAGTGAACCAACGGAAGGAAGACCTTTCTCTCTGTCTCTCCCTTTGACTGTCTGTAACTCTACCTCTCAAATAAATAAATAAAATCTTTTTTAAAAAAATTAGCCTGCTACAGATTCATTGAATTTCAAGGCTTGCCCGTGGCTGTCCTGGTGGGGCCAGACCCAGTGATTTTGCGGGGCTGGACGTCCCCCACCCCTGCTGCGGTGACATTTCTGGCATTCCATCTTCTCCAACACAATAAGCCAAGAACACAGTCGGCGGGCAGGGAGAACCGACAAACGTCCATGAAACAAGGCATTTTATAAACACAATGCGAAATATGCTCTTAATAAAATGAGTGCCCATGATTCCTTCTTTCCGCGATTCTAGTACAGCCTTCTAACGCGAGGCAAGATGTGGTCATGGGGCCGGCGCTGTGGCACAGCAGGTAAAGCTTCCGCCTGCGATGCTGGCATTCATACGGGCAGAACTCAAAATTCAGCCCATCTACAGCAGGCTCGTTTTTTAAGTTGATCGTTTTGGATGGCCCAGGAATGATGTTATAAATACCCTGGGCAGGAAGAAGTTTCCCCACCCCTGCGGCAGGGAATGGTGGGAGGGAGCGGCGCACAGCATCACAGAGCAAGGGGCTCCAAGCCGCACCCCGCAGAGCAGAATCCCCACGCCTTAGAGGAGACCCTGTGAAGACAGCTACAGAGAGAGCTACAACGGAAGCAGAAGGAAACAGAGGGAGGCTGAGACAGACGGGAGCCCACAGCCTCCACCTCAACTGTGGCTGCAGGAGGGCCTGCGCCTTGACCCAGCTGCCTGCTGCCCCCGGACAACGCGGGTCAGCACCCGCACACAGTGAGAACAACCGCTGCAGGGAGTCCTGGCTGTGCCGACCTCTCCCGAGGCTACTCCGAGGGTGGGAGCAATCCGGTGAGAGCGAGGAGGCCAGGATGGAAGACGGGCGGAGGCCTTGGAAGCAGGACTCTGGGCTCTTGGGCGCCCTCCTAGCACAGTGGGAGCCACTGGGGGTGTCACGGTGGGGTTTTGGTTTTTTTAATTTTAAAACTTAACCTTCTGGGCTGGTGCTGTGGCACAGCGGGTTAAGCCGCCATCTGAAGTGCCGGCATCCTGTATGGGCACCAGTTTGAGCCCCGGCTGCTCTGCTTCCAATGCAGCTCCCTGCTAATGCACCTGGGAAAGCAGCGGAAGATGGCCCAAGTGCTTGGGCCCCTGCACCCACACAGGAGACCCGGATGAAGCTCCTGGCTCCTGGCTCAGGCCAGTCCCAGCTGTTGCAGCCATATGGGGACTGAACCAGCAGATGGAAGATCTCTCTGTGTCTCTCATCTCTCTCTATGTAACTCTCCTCTCTCTCCTCTGTGTAACTCTTTCAAATAAATAAATACATCTTTAAAAAAACAAACACTTGACCATGTTTCAAACAGAAGTAAACTCAAAGCAAGTAAAGAGAGCACAGTGAAACCCACACGTGTAGCCCTCACCTTGCTTCTGCAGTTGTCAACACTGCCAATCATGTCCCCAAAGGGCTTTGCGTGGGGGCCGACAGGATGGCATTTCTGGGTGGGAAGGACTGCGGGGAAGCAGCGGGACTGGGAGGGTCGGGGCTAGGTTGCAGCAAACCATCCATCCATCCAACCTTCCCCAAGTCAAGTTCTGCGCGTGCCTGGCCCTGTCCTTGGTGCTGTGGATTGAAGGGTAAACATGGCGGATGCCTGCTCTCCTCCAGCTCACGTTCTCGGAGGGCGAAGCAGACCAGCAAAGGGGAAGAACAGGAAGAGTCGGGGGCGCCCAGGAGAGAGGGTGTGCTCTAGATCGGCTGGGGAGTGGGCAGGGGGCACGCCTGGCTCGTTGGGCCAGCAGGAAGCGGGGGTCAGGAGCAGCATGAGGGGGAGCCTGGCGGGAGGTGTGGCTGAGAGGAGATGAAGGTTTGGGCTATGGCAGCAGCAGAGGGGACCGAGACAAGTGGGCTTGAGGGACTCAGGACGGAAAAGCAACGGGATCTGGTGATGGGTTCAAGGTGGACAGACGGTAGGGGGTGCTCAGATTTCTAGCTTGAATGTCTCGAGGGACAGGGGTGCTCTTCAGTGAGAGGGGGAGGAGGGGTCACAGGAAAAGCCCAGACCCCCACGTGGCTCCCTCCTCGTCTCCCGAAGCAAGGACAGCCGCTTCCACCGCCATCCCTGCGCCTTCTGGATCAGACAGTCACCCTGGGCGATGCCAGGTGGTGGCCGTCACCACCACCGCCCTGCCACCAGCACGCCTCCACCGCTGGGCACCTAGGGTGGGGAGGACACTCCTGGCCCAGCCTCACGGGTCTGGGCAGTGGGAGAGACGGAGCAGACACAACCAGAGGAATGCGGTACCCACCGCACAGTCTGATCTCGGGTGGACGTGGTGCCTGCAGCCTTGTCACCGTCCCTGGCCGTGTCCCTGTCCCTGGCCATGTGGGGCTTGGCTCATCTCCACGCCCCCCTGTGTGGGCACCTCCGAGGGCTGAATTTAAAGGGACCAGGAGGTTGCTGGGAGGCAGGTCTGGGATGAGAACGTCTCTCACCCTGGGACTTCTGCACTTCTGAAAGGTGACCTGCAGAACCAGCGGGGGCGGGGGAGGAAGAGACCCCAACGGGCCATCTGAACGGAACCTCACAGCGGCTCGGGCAGCTGCCTGCTCCCGGAGAGGACTCCACGCCCACAGCCCGCTTCTCAGCCTTCTCTGCCCTTGCTGCACCCTACCCTGGAAGGGCATTTTTCTCTCGGCTGTCTGTTTCGGTGGGGGCCGGGGACGGGGTGCGGGCAGGGACAGGCATTCAGGGTCATTGTCTGGGAACGAATCCTGGACAGCAGGAGGCTGCGGCTCTCGCTCCTCATCCCGTCATCTGTCACCCAGCGAGGGCGGCCGGCAGCCAGGCCTAATGAAGACAGAGAGGCGGTTCCGGCTGTGCACAGGTGCTGCTCTCATTACCAGGTAAGGTGACATTCCAAAGCACCTCATTACCGAGCAGACACCGGACGGGGCCGGGGCACATATTGATGGCAGCGGGGCCAGCCAGCGTCTGTCTCAAGTCCCACAGCCCCTGAGGCAGGAGAAGCGAGAGGGAGGCGTCTCTGGTGTCAAACCCGCAGCCGCTCACTGCGGAGAAAAATGAATTCTTGCTACCCCGACATGGAGGGTCAAGCTGCAGACTCTGCGCCCTGCAGGACAAGGGTCCTTTGCCCATCCCAGCTCCTGAGGGACCCCGCTCCCAGGGAATGACTGGGTGGGGCTGGGGTGATGCCCACCGAGTCTGGATGCTGGAGACAAGCGGTGGCCAACAGCTTGCAGGCGGGACAGGCGCAGGTGGGCCGCCAAAGCCGGCCGCCGTAGGAGGTGAGGCCAGGGCAGTGGTCCCTGATGGCCTGCGGGGTCCCCTGGGACGGGGGAGCCTCCCCATTGTCTCGTGGTCCAGGAGAGGCGGACGAGGCAGACGTGGCTCCCGAAGCCGGGGACAAAGTAGCCAACGTTAGAGCCACCTGCCACACAGCCTCCAGCGCCCGCACGGCCCAAGGCCGCCCCACTGGGCCGGGAGCCCCAGGGACCGCGGGGTGCCCCGCGCATGCGCGCTGGGCCGCTGGGCGCCCCCGCCCCCGCGCCGCTCGATTTGAAACCGGCAGCAGACGGAACTCGGCTTAAAAATAACTGTTTTGACAGTTCCGATGTAAATATGTGAGTGACGCGTGGGGCTGTTTTGCCTTCACACCTCCCCTCACCCCGCGCTCCTTACCCCAGCCCAGATCGGCTGCGGCTGAGATGACGGGAGAGCGCCGCCTGCAGGATGCTCCCCGAAATGCAGCCGTGGGAGGTGACACGTGCTGAGCGCTCGGCCGCTGGGGGGCGCCCGCTCCCTCTGGCCTCCTCACACTGCCTTTCGGGGCAGACGTTTTTATATACCATTTCTTGTCTCTGACTCCAGAAACCAGAAGCTAGTCTGGGGCACCATTGAGCTAACTTAATAATTCCTGCCTTCGCCATACCCATCTTCAGTTCAAATTTGACCTGTATTTTCTGAATTTCTACTCCATGCCCATTCCCAGTGCTCCAGGCAGTGGAATATGTGAGATATGCAAAACGCACCTTTGCCAGACTCATCCGGAGCACCTGCCCTGTGCCACGTGTGGAGCTAAGTCCGCGTTTGAGCCCAGCCACCCGATGCAGGCAGCTATGCCCTGGGACAAATACCTGATAACTAACTGCCTGGTGCTCCCTCCCTCCTGTTCCAACCCCAGGGGTCCTCAAAAAGAGAGGAGGCAGGAAGGAGCCTGCAGGTTTCAGACTGTTGGAGAGGAGAGGACTCTGGGAGCAAGGGGGCTCACATTCCACGGTGACAGTGACGTCTCCTATGGCACCTGCTGGCAGGGTCGCCCGGCTCTGTCTGTGTACACAGAAGTGGCAGAAGTCCCAAGATGTTGGCAGAGAGGACAGAAGGGTCCTCAGGATCTGTGCCCAGAACACTGCGTCTTCTCCATCCTTCCAGGCTCGGCTCTGATTCCACCTCCTCCGAGAAGCCTTCCCCGACCTTCCCCACACACAGCCCCCAGCTCGAAGCACTTGGCTTCTGCTCGCATCGTGCACGCCGTGGCGCTTGCCGTGGTGCTTTTTACGAAGCTGCGAGTTCCTCAAGGGCTGGAATGGCGCCTGCCTGCCCTGCGCCCCCCCTGCAGCTCCCCCTGCAGAACACGGCGTCAGGGCTCCCGGTCGCTTCGATGGATCCGGTCGACCGCGGTGTGCAGCCCACGTTTCCTACCTGTGGGTAAGGCCTGGGATGCAGACAGCAGAGGGGTGAAGGCAGGCTTCCCAGCTCCCTCCTGGAGACGGGGGCAAGGCGGCCACTCCCTCGGGAGCTGTGGGTCCACTGCCCTGTCCCCCACCTGCCTGTGTGGCCTGCCCCAAGCCCGAGGGTCTGGGATTACAGCTTCTGGCTTGAGCTCTCTGCTCCCTCTCAGGGCCCCCTGCTTCAGAGATCACTCAACTCCCTGTCTTCCCAGTTCAAGTGGAACCATGATGTAATAATTCCCATAAAATACTCATTTCCCTGACAACCAGAGCTCCTGTCTGCTGGTTCCCTCCCCAGATGCCTGCGACAGTCAGGGCCAAAGCCAGGAGCTGGGAACTGAAGCCAGCAAGTGGCAGAGACCCGACTACTTGAGCAGTCACGTCTGCCTCCCAGGGCGCCCGCGCATGAGCAGGAAGCTGGAGCCAGGAGCCAGAGCCAGGAATCCTGCTCGCGTGTGGGCCAGGGGCATCCTTGGCAGTGTCTTCACTGCCCACGGGAGTTCTTTCTCAAGCAGTTGATCGATACACGATTCACAGGCCGCATGGCCGTTCCTGTTCTGAGTGCTGTGCGTCTCTCTCTCCTGAAAATTCCCACGTGTTCTGCAGCAGTTCTGAGGAGCCCAATGGAAGGTTTTTATTCTTTCTCAAAAGCACCTTTAAAATTATGTGGTTGAAGGCTGTGGTGTAATGGGTAAAGTCACAGCCTTCAGCACTGGCATCCCACAGGGGCGCCAGTTCGAGTCCCAGCTGCTCCACTTCCGATCCCGCTCCCTGCTAATGCACCTGGGAAAGCAGAGGAAGATGGCCCAAACACCTGGAAGAAGCTCCTGGAAGAAGCTTTGGCCTGGCCAACCCCCAGTCATTGCAACCATTTGAGTGAACCAGTGCATGGAAGATTCTCTCTCTCTCTCTCTCTCTGTAACTATGCCTTTCAAATAAAATAAATCTTAAAAAAACAAAACGGTAGTCTTACCATTCTCTTAACCCACCTCCCCGATCTATTTCTCGGAGACACCAGGAAGCAGCGACTTGGCTTCCTTGGATTTATGGAGAGCACAGCCGAGGCTGCCAGGGTCCCAGGGGCCCAGGGCACAGCCGGAGCCCCCTCCTGAGCCCCATCACCTCCCGACTCTCCCTCCCAGCCTGCAGGCCCTCCTCTCAGCAGAGCTGCTCAGCTCCTGCTGCTGCAGAGTATGACTGTGTGAAACAAACGCCGATGCCCCATCTATGCTGACAACATAATTCATTTACTGCAAAGGATGTAATAAACTCTGTTTATTACAGCAATTAACAGAGCAGCGTTCGCCGGCATGCTTTTCAGTGGCAACCAGAAAAGTGCTTACTCCAGGTGCATAGATTCGGGAAACCGTGCAGCTTGAGCCAAAACGAAACCAACACGAGGCTTAGGAAGTGGGTTCCAGCCACCCCAGGAAAATGAGCCATCCAGGAGCCAGCTCAGCTGAGGCAGGACCTCAGTGCAGGAGTTAGAGGGTAGGGACTGCTACTTGACTGGGCTAAGATCTGGGTCATCTTCAAGGTCACAGTTTTAGGATATGAGACTCAGCTACCCCAGGTGCTGGGCTCGGAGGTCACTGACCCGCAGAGGAGAGTATGCGGATGTTAGCACCATTCACTCAGGGCTCCCCTGCCCCTGGGCGGAGGTGGGAACTTGGGAGGAGAGACAGAGCAAGGGCAGCTCTGAGAACTTTCATTAAACTGCGCCTTTGAGAGCATCGCTTTCGGTAATACCGAGTCAAGACCTCAAGTCTCTGGAGGGAAACAGGGCTGCCTGCTTCCCGGCCTGCAGAGGATCTGCTGTTTTGCTCTGGGACAAAGACATGAGGCCATTTGTCCTAGTTCTTTGGTAGAGGGACAGACCAGAAAGGAAAGCCTTGGTTTTGATTCCCCGCCCTTGTGTATCTGATCGCTGATGAACCAAACCTGGTTCTCTGTCCCCTTGCACCAACAGGACAGTCTGCAGAGCCAAGTCCGGCTTTCCCGAGAAGGGGAACCACTTGGTGTCACCACTGTGGGGCAAAAGTCCATCCTGAGACACCCAGCTTCCTTCATCCTCTCAGGGCAGCCTCCCAGGGAGACCAGGGGGAGTTTTGATCTTGAAAACAAGCACCTGGCGGACTAAGCCAGGAAGAAAAGTGAAGAGACAGACCTCTGAGGGGGTTCCCCGGGGGTCCTCCTTCCTTGCATCAGTCTTGTCCCTCCTCGGGCTGCTGGGAGAAGGCGCTGTGCTGTGGGATGAGGGCAGAAGCCAGCCTGGCCTCTCTGGAACGGAGAAAGTCAGAGCTCTGAGCATCATGAACAAGGGGATAAAAATAGCAGCGTTGCCATGGCAACGGAGGCTGGGAGAGTCCGGAGGATCTGTCTGGGTCCTGCCATCTCCCCCTCCTGCCTCGCCGCCTCCCGCCCCTCGGATGGAACGGAACGGATGGAACGTAGCAATGAGCTGAGCGAGGAGGGAGGGCTGCCCCAGAGGGGAAGGGAGGCGACCAGCCGCCCAGCGGGAAAAGCCTTGAACTCCAGAACCTGGGGGTTTCTGGCTTTTGGAATTTATTCCTCAGCGTACCCTCCTGGTGGGTGGTCTGACATCCTGGGCTCCCCTACAGAGCCAAGTTTCTGTGCCCCTGATCCCATGGGCACCCAGGTGGGACGGCCACACACCCCACACAGTGGACAAAGACCACTCCAGGATGGCCTGGGGGGTCTGGAGGATTCTGACATAGCCAGACGCCCTGGTGCGGGACTGTTCAGCAACATGGAACTGGGAAGCCATGTCTTGATCTTGCTTTCGTGTTGAAGGAACAGATTCCAGATCTTGGCTCTTGGGGTGCTCGGTACTCTCACCGGCTCTGCGCAGGATCAGCACGAGACCTGCAGGGCCAGCCTGCCAGGAGCCAAATGCACACGGCCACCCAGGCGGTTCCTTCCCTGCCGTAAGGCCACCACCTTCACGTCTCCAAAAGTTCAAGGCACATCTGACGCCACGCGCCCTCCGACTGTGTGCCTGCCCGCGGGAGCCATGGGAGTCCTTGTCACCTCTGACAGAGAGGAGGAAGTGATTCGCAGAGGTCAGGAGTCAGTGGGGAGCTGGGGGCTGCGGCTCTCCATCCAAAGCCAGCCAGCCGTTGGCCCCTCTAACCGCCAGCACTTCCCAAGCCACCGGGCAAACTCCAGCCGGGGGCACTTCCCCTTGCAGACAGCAAGAACTGAGCGCAGGGCGGTAGGCACACTGGCAGCTGTGCAGGGGCTGCCTGGGTCACACAGCTGCGGACCAGCGCTGCTCCTTGAGATTCCTCCTAGAATCTCTAGAGCAGGTGGTGGTGGAGGGAGAGACAGAGAGAGTATATGCGGGGTGGCACCTGTGATGACCTGGACAGGGCCTGCAGCCAGAGTCCAGGCCACCTCACTCACCCCCCTGGGGCCCTGCAGGGGAGAGTTCTAGCAACAGCTCAGCTAACTCGGTTTGCTGATTCCCCCACCTCCTCACGGTTGCCGCGTGCCCAGGGCATGCGCTGGGGCCCAGGGTCCCTGCAGCTCCTCCATTTCCACTGCCCTGAGCCCCACAGAGGCTCCTACCCACACCCACAGAGCCCTGGACTCCCAGGGGTGCAGGGCAGAAGTTAGCACCACCCCCTCCTCACAGCTGAGGAAAGTAAAATGTGACCAGCGCAGGATTGTGAGTCACCAGGTCCTCAAGCTGGAACCCCGGAGAGCAGGTCCCCAGCCCAGAGCTCGTGGCATCCCACTGGACCACGCCATGTGGAATTACTGCCCCCCCCCCCCATCAAATGACAATGGCCCCAGTGTTTCCATGGAGCCACTGCGACATTCAAAATCTGCCCCCTGGGAGTGGAGCAGGACAGGGCATTCTAATACAGAGGCTTTGACCTGGGACCAGAAGCCTCTGGGGTCCAGAGGGCCAAGGGCCCAGACACCACTCAAGTCTTCCTCTTCCTCCCACAGCCTGCAGCCCAAGAGGGAAAAGCAGGAGTAGACAGTCCAGTTGGAGATGGGGAAACTGGAGCCCCAACTTTCCACAGCACGAGAGGCGTGAGCCCCCCAGCTCAGCCTGGGGTCTCCCAGAAGCAGGCAGGGAGGGCCGGGAACTGGGAACAAAGGGGGCAGAGTTCTCCCCTGGAGCTCTGGGAAGGAGTGAGACTCCTCGGCATGTGGGCGGCGGTGTGGCTGCCTTCCTGGACCCCACCTGTCTCCCCGGGGTCCCTTAAGGCTGTAGGGATAGGAAGAGGACGCCAGTCCCCATCTCCCTGAGAAGGAAACTGAGGGAGCCATAACATGTGTGTGTGTGTGTGGGGGGGTGGTGTCTGGCCATAGCAGCTGCAACCTTGGACCCAACTTTAGCCCTGGATAACGAAGGGCCGCCAGCTGGGAGGCCAAGGACAGCTCTGCACGGCCCAGCTGGGCCTTGACCTTGGGCCGCCACCCAGGTTCCCACAGCAGGGACTCCGGCTATCAGGTATCCCTCTGGAGCCTGGAGATTTCTCCTGGGGGAAGAAACCCTGCAGGGCTCCGGGCCAAGCCCTGCTGCTGCAATCCTGCCAGGGTCGGTCTGAGGTGCCAGCAGGGCCCATGTTGTCCCTGCTCCTGACCTTCCCGCCTGGGAAGCCCCTGGGACCGGCACCCAACACCCCAGCGTCTCAGATACAGTTTCATCCCCCGCTATTGAAGAGACAGTCCTAGCACTGCAGCCTCTCGGGCCATGGCTGGGGACACACGGGTCCCAGAGGAGGGCGCAGGACCCTCTGTCTCAGGGGAGCCCCTGCACGCTTTCCTGCCCTTCTCTTGGGCTCACCCAAGGCCTCCAGTGTCCCCAAGGACAGAGGACCAGGGAGGCTCCTGCTGAGGTGGCACACACATATAGCATGGGGCCAGCGGGTCAGGGCCAGGGCTGGAGGAAAGACTGCTTTGGTGTGTGGGGCAGCAGGGCTGGCAAGAGACAAGGCCACATCCACCCGCTGCTCTGCCACAGTGTCCCCATCCTACCGCCCTTTCGCACCCAGGCCGGCCACCTCAGGCATGGCTGCACCTGGGATGCTGGGCGGGGGGGAGGGGGGGAGGGAGCACTCAGGGGACACTGCTGTGGCATGCGATGCTCCTGCTCTGTATCCTGGAGTCCCAGGAGAGACCCCGTCCTGGCCTTGGAGGTGGAGGTCTCGCCCCATCATGAGGACTGCTCCCAGCGCTCTGCTAGGGCAGCCAGTTCCTTAGTTAGCAACTGCTGTCTTGGCCCAATGGGATGCATCTCTCCCTGGAAGGGCAGGAAGGAAGTTCCACTCTTGGGCCTCCCTGGGGCATCTCTGGAAGGTGATTGGCAGGTCCTGGAGTTCCCCTGTGCGCCGGGGCCTCTCGCAGGCAGCTCTCAGGACTGCACGCCCATGTATGCGGGCACAAGGAGGCCTTGGCGGCACCCAGGAGTCCGGGGCCCTCGGGGTGGAGCCAGGCTGCACTGAGAAGAGCAGGGCTCAGTGGAGCTCCAAGATGCCCATGAGGCTTCCCGTCCCGCAAGAGCACTGGCCAGCACTGGGCAGCCTCAGGCCTGGGCCTTGCTGGGGCAGCCAGGGGACCCTGGTCTTGCTCACACCGCTGTTTCCCGCTCTCTGTGAACGTCCTCCTTCTTCCTCTTCATCTTGCAGAAGCCGTGGAGGCCACAGAAGCAGGCGAAGGTGAACTGGGGCATGCCCTAGGCCAGGCCGGGGACGCTCAGCGGAGATCTGCAGGGAAAGGATGTGGGAGAAGGCAGGGAGAGAGAAGCACGCTGGGGTTAACGCGCCCCCCAGAGGCTGCGGGGGCCCTGCCGCCTCTCACACCGGCCACCGGACTACAGCGCTTCCTGATCTGAGCTGACGTCATTCCTCCAGGCGGCCGCCCCCTCGGCCTCACTCAGCACCATGCATCTGTGGCTGGAAACACCTGGCAGAAAACAAGCTTGTGCCACCATGGGCAGGTGGAGGTGCGTGGGGGCCACACCTGCAAGGACCCGGATGCAGGCCTCTGATGCCTAAGAAACACTCCTCCAGCGCGGCCTCTCCTTTGCCACCTGGAACCGAGTCAGGGCTTCCTCTCTCCCTTAGCAGCGAGGGTTTAGCAGAATGCGCTCGGAGCGCCCAGAGCAACACAGAACCCCCTGCTCGCCAGGCAGAGAACAGACAGCAGAGTTCTTGAGCCAACAGGCTGTTTTATTTAGCACCTGGGCAGGGCACAGGGGCTGGGAGGTGGGTACAAGATGGTGAAGAGTTTCTTTCCTGTCACCAAAGTAAGCCTGGGGGAGTGGGGAGTGGCTGAGGCTGGACCTGCCCAGGCTGGCCTGGCCCTGCCTCCACCCAGGGAGCACTCACTCTCAGGGGTGGGTGGGGCTTCAGGACAGCTCTGTCTGCAGGAGCATCCACTCTGCAGACGTTGAGGGGGTGTCAGGGTTCCCTATCCGCATGCACCTGCAGTTGCTCCACTTCGCCCCCTTCCTCCTGCTGAGCCTGCTGTGCACGGAGCACAGGTCCGAAGGAGCAGAGCAGCTGGCCCTGGGGGAGGGAAGCACCTGGCGTGGAGGTCGGGTCTGAGCCGAGTCACAGCTCTCTCGAGGAAGCAGGAAAGCAAAGTCTGAACGCTGAGGGCAAGGAGGGAGGCACAGGGCCAGCCTGGAGGGGTTTGGAACAAGGAAGCATGGGGCACCCCCCCTCAAAACCCTAGGTCCCCCACACAGGGCACACCTGCAGGGTGGAGGAGGCTGGCCAACCTTGCTTCGTGTTCCTCCAGGCCAAACAGAGAACTCAGCAAGCGCTGCGGAGCCTGGTTCCGGGAGCGATCTTCCCTCCCTCGGCCCCTCGGCGTCCGGGTAATACATCTAATCGCTGTAATTAATAGGTGCCAGGCACCTCCAACGGCTGGCTGGGTGGGCAGGCGGCCCAGCTTGAGTCAGCAGTAGGTAGGCTGTTACTTAATAATCCCCTCTCCGCGCCACCTCCTCGCTCACTCTGCTGGAGTGTACACAGTGAACCGGGAGCGCTCGCGGGATATATATAGATGGCACCGGGACTACTACTACTGTATTTCTAGATCTACCTATCACAGCTACCTCGGGGGCCCTCCCATGACAAGCCTAGAGAGAAACAGGGCTCTACACAGGGGCTCAGGGGGCCTGGGCTCTATACCTGGCTGGGATGCTGGCGTGCTGTGTCACCCTGGGTGAGTGGCTCCATCTCTCTGGGCCTTCCTCATCTCAGTGTGCTGGGAGGTTAGCCAAGGTTTAACATGCAGAGCCCCAAAGCTAAGAGGCAGGAAAGGCACTGGGACTCCTGCCTGCCCAGGTAGAAGGTAGGGGTGTGGCGGTGGGGGTTCTGCAGTAATCGGTGACTGCACTACACACGTCCCTTGCTGGACTGCATGTCAGGGGCACTGTCAACAGAGCGTTCGCACCACTATGAAAAATCCACGGGCGGCTGGCACTGTGGTGTAGTGGGTAAAGCCACCGCCTGCAGTGCCAGTATCCCATTTGGTCATTGGTTGGAGTCCCAGCTACTGCACTTCCAATCCAGCTCTCTGCTGTGGCCTGGGAAAGCAGTAGAAGATGGCCCAAGTGCTTGGGACCCTGCACCCACGTGGGAGACCTAAAAGAAGCTCCTGAACAGCTCAGCTCTGGCTGTTGTGGCCATTTGGGGAGTGAACCAGCGGATGGAAGATCCCCACCCCCTGCCTCTGTAACTCTGCCTTTCTAATAAATAAGTGTATTTAAATAAAAAAAAAAAATCCAAGGGGAGAAATCCACAGGTACAACAAGGCTGGCCTAGGAGAGGGGATCACAAGGAATACAAACCGGGCAAGGGGCCCTGACCACCCAGGCCTGGGCGTAGCTCAGGGAGCCTGGTTCCTGGAGCCCAGGGCACGTGGGTCCTCTTCTCTAAGCCTCTTCCCTGGGGTGCTTTGAGAGAGGTGGGGAAAATCAGACTTTTCTGACCGGCCCACTTCTGTAAGGAAGGCAGGGCAGGGGTATGGATAAGGGGAACCAGGACCTGCAGGAGCCGGGCTAGGCGCTGCAATCTCTCTCCCAGGTGAGTCCTGGGGGCAGGGACAACCTCAGTGGGGTTCCTGGGTCCCAGTTCCCAAGGCAGGACCTGAGAGGGTCACCCCTGTGCAGAGCACAGCCAGCCTGAGCTCTGTGGGGGGCTCACAGGAGGCCGGGCCGGCCCCTGCAGTGGAGAGACCCCAGTCCTGCTTACAGTGCCTTGCCTCCCCCAACCCCCCCAGCAGGTACCTTGGGCTGTGGTCTCTGCCAGTTCTCACCACTGCCTCCCCAGCCTGTACCCCACACACTTGGCAGCTCAGTCCAGCACCAGCTGGAGGCTCCCCGGAGAAGCCAGGCCCCAGTGACCCTCCCCTGCTGTGTCTATCTGTGTGGGAGGGTCTGGACTAGAGCCTGGGGACACCCCCACTTCTCTGCGCTCCAGATGGGAACTCCCCTCCCACTCCCCCACCCTCCCACCTCCCATTTCAGGCCCACAGTCCTGCAGGGGCTAAGCAATGGCAAAGCTGCCCCCAGGAACCCAGAATAGAAGGCGAGGGGGTGGACGCTGGACAAACCTCCCGCAGTCCCACAGTTGGCCGCATCCGCCGCAAGCTGTTGGCCCTGGCTGCCTCCCCATCCTCCCCTCTGGCTGGGCCCCAGCTAGGTGCAAGATGGTCTGGGGTCTGGGGACTGCAGGGCTCCTCTGCCAGGCCAGGGAGGTGGGAGCTGAGATCAAGCCAGAGCACTGGCCCTCCTGGACCACCCGGTGCTCCCCAGCTCCCCCTTTCCCTGGGCCCTCACCCCACTTCTCTCCGTGGCACTCTCTCCAGGGGTCCTCCCACCCTAATGCCTGGGGCAAAAATGGGGCAGTGGGTCAGAGATGGCACGGGGACTTCTGTGATAGGGAGGAGGGGAGGAAGCGGGGCTCCGGGCTCACAGACCGTGGTGCCTCCTTGGAGACAGGGGTCTGGGCCGTGTCCTCCATCGTGGTGGGCAGCAGGGCAAGCCAGGACACCTCGAACAAATAAGAAAGGGAGATGCACCCCCCCATCACACACCTCCCCAGGCAGAAGCAGAGGCGCTCCCAGCAAGGATTCCCCCCCACCATACACACACAGACACTCCCACCACCCCCACCGCAGGTAGAGGGCAAGGGGGAAGTGACCCAGGGAGGAGGGGCGCCCTCTGAGCCTAGGGGACAATGCTGAGCCCTCCGCCCCCGCCCCCAGGCCCTTCGCACCGCGCCTCAGTAATTAAAATATGAATTCACCTTCCCTCCCCGAGCCATTCATCACGGCGCGGGGAAGCAGCTGCGGCTTAGGAGACCGGATTTGGGGGATTAGCTCGGGCGGTGGAGCAGACACACCAGGAGAAAGAATTAAAAAGGAAGGGGGTGAATTGGGCTGCTCTCCCCACCTCCTCCCGCTCCCGCTCTCCCGCCGCCACCGAGCCTCACACCCACCCCTTCCCCCAAAGAGGAGCCTCTGTAGCTTGCTGGGAACTGTAGTCTACCAGCCGGTGCTGATAAACAGGCCGGCCAGGGCTGGGTGGTGGCACAGACTACAGATCCCAGGGCTTCTCCCCCGAGTTGGCAGCAGCTAAGCTGGGCACCGGCCTCAGGCTGGGGACAAGCCCGCGTTCTCCTCGGAGGTTAACTCCTTCCTGGACCTGCCTCGGGCTTGCTGAGATCCTGGGATCTGAGCCCTCTGTGGCGGTCAGAGGCCACCCAGACCCTGGCTCACCAAGGCCACCCACCGCCTAGCTCCTTGCTGGCCTGCCTATGGGGAAAGACAAAGCTCCCCGTAGCCTTGAAGTCTCCAAGGGCAGCCCCGCCATTACCAGTGGTTCTGGGATGCTCGGGGGACCGTGCAGCTAGAGGGTCAAAGTGTCAGTAGTCTCCAAAGGGGCTTATGCCCACCCTCAGGGTCATGGCGAGTGTGATAAGGGCAGCAGCAGCAGCCAGGCCCCTGGCGGCCGAGGCCATCAATGCCAGAAGGGACCCCAGCTGTCAAAGCTTGGGGCCATCCCTCCCTGAAGACAGGGACAGAGAGGTTTTTCCTTGTAAGCTTAGCCATCAAATTGCATTTCCTCTCAAAGTGGGCAAACCCAATGAGATTCACCCAAATCCCAGCTGCACTCCCAGGGGAGGCCTCAGGCTGCGCCTATGTGAAGACCACAAAGGACTCCCATTGCTAGAGCATTTCAGGTTTCAGCCGGCTGCAGGCAGGGGATGGCAGAGACATAGCCCTGTGATCTGTGAATCCTCAGGGAGTTCCAGGAGCGCATGGGGCCAGCTTGCCAGTGCAATGCAGTTCAACAATTAGTGTGCAATATAGAATTGTGTATCTTCTCCAGGCCTGCCCCCACTGGCAGTGGCCAAGAGACACAGTGGAAAAGCACTCCAACTTTGTAACCCCAGACATGGCGCATACCCAACACCCCACCCCCCGGCAAAGGTGGGACTGTGGGCTGAGGTGCTGAGCCCAGGGCTTGCTCATGTCCCTGCTTGTGACTTACCTGTTAGCCCAACGCCGTTCACTCCACAAACATTTGCTCAGCAGTCCCCACTCACTGCCTTGCTTGCCTGGAGGGTTAGGGAATGGTTCCGCTGTCCCTGTCCTGCCAGGCCCAGCCCAGGGCTGAGGCCATCGTGGGCAAACTGCACAGGGTTCCTGGGAGGGATCCACTTTCCGGGGGCCCCTCGCTGCAACCTGATTTTCCAGTTCGGAGGTGGGAAGCTAAGGGAAGCAGATCAAGTGCCTAGAGGTTCTCGGGATAGAAGAGGGAACAGAACGGGCTCACGGTGAGCCTGGGGCGCTGAGGGAGGGGGAGCAGGTGCCAGCCATCTCTGATCTCTGGGCCAGAGAACGCAGAGGGCAAGCAAGAAGCCCTGGCACTCCTCTTCCCCAGCCCTTCCACCATCTAAGCTGGGGCAGGAGGGGAAGAGACCTGGATCAGGCCAGCAAGAGCCCAGCTGGCGTGGGCTTCTCTTTGCTTCTCCTTCCACTCACCTCCTGCTGGAAAAGAAAACCCAGAATGGACAAAGGGTGACTGGAGTTGGGCCCACGTGTGGGCACGCACCCAGTGGAGGCCATGTGAGAAGAGCCCCCTCGCGCGAGCACGGCACAGCCCACCTTCCCGCCGACTGGTGCTGGCCCTCCCAACATACCCCGACGGGGCAAGCATGGGTTCTGCACCCAGCTCTGCCCTTTATCAGCCATGGGAGCTTAGCGCAGCTTCTTAGCTCCTCTGTGCCTCGCACTTCCCCTAAGTAAAATGGGCTAATAGTAGATATAGTTGTCTCGAGGATTAGATGCGGTAGGACAGGTGAAATGCTCAGAATCACGCCTGCTGCAGAGTAGGTGAAGGCCTCTGGGGGCGGGGGGGGGGGGGCAAGGCATTCTCAGTAACTTGTCCTCTCATTCCCTACCCAGTACCCCGCTGAGGCTGCCACGGGCTGGCCCAGGACGAGGGAGAATGGGGTGGCGGTGAGTCCTCTGCCACTCCAGCCAGACTGCTTGCCTTATTTCCATCTGTTGGAGTCTCCCAGGATGGTGGCACAGAGTCAAGGCAGATTCAACCAGGGTGGGACTGCGTGTGTGCGTGTGTGTGCGGCAACAGGCATCAGGGGGCAGCCAGACGAGCTGAGTGACAGGCAGCTGGGGTGGGGGTGGGGGGCAGGTACCGCTCACACACCTGGAGGGTGGCAGCCCAAGAGCTAGAGACCCGGAGCTTACACCTGCTGCTGTGGGGAGCAGCTGGCAGCCCGCTTCCACTCTGTGGAACCTCCTGCCCCTCCTGGCGGGACTGAATGTGCCCAGGGCAGCCACCGAGGCACTCCAGGCCTCCCTGCACAGAAGAAGGCCGAGGGTTCCGGGCTGAACTCAGAGGCGAAGGGAGCGAGGCCAAGAAGCAGAGGCTGCGCTGGAAGAAGGCGCATCGAGGAGAGGCCCGTCTTTGTGACCCAGTGCCTGTGACTCCAGCTCCCAAATCTCCGAGCCGCAGCCGGGGCCTCGGGGTTGGCCAGAGACCTCAGCACACACCCTGAGTGTCTCCTTCCTTCCTGGGGGGACTCGCCCTTTGGAAGCATCGGACCAGCCTCTTCATCCCAGGGTGAGGAGCCAGGTTCAGAGAGGGGAAGTGACTTGGCCAAGATCACACAGCCCACCCCGGCCCCTGGGTTCCTAGATCCCCTCCAGTCCCCACCCCAGAGCGAACCATCCCCCGGTGCCCCCTCTGTGGCTGCAGCAGGAGTGCGCCCCTCACTGTAGCCCATGGCTTTTAGCCCTACATGAGTTTGGAGGAGCAATCACATAGGAATGAAAAGCCATAGGCCACAGCAGAGCTGAGGGGTCCAGCGGCAGGACCTCAAAAGGAAGCAGGGAGTTGGGGGCACCTGGGGAGCCCTCCCCACCCTTCCCACCATCCCCCACCCCGAGCCCACCCACACTGCATCCCTCAAAGTCTTAGGCCCCCCAAGTTACGTTGTTCAACCTCCCCCAGCACCTGCCCTGGCCCCCGGGGACACTAAAGCCATCCCCATAATGAGTCTCCAGTTCTGGCCCCACGAAGGCCCCCACACAATGGTCCTCACTGGGGTACAAGGAGGGGTGGCTTCCTGGCCATAAAGGACCTCCTCCAATTCCCTTAATTAGCTTCCAGTTCCCAGCCCAGGGGTCCTTAACTGCTCTCTCCCCTCGTGAATGAGGCCGGATCTTTTCAAGGTTGCTGCTGCCACAGCCTAAGCCAGGCAGCACGTTGGCCTCCCTCCTTACAAAGCTTAACCCTTTCCGGGGCAGCAGAGGGTCCAAGGTGGGTCTGCGTGGAGGCGGTCGGGCCACAGGCCTGCCTTTGGGGGACTGGCCCACGTCGGCCAGGCTGGTTACCACCTGCACCCACTCTTGCGTGGTCTCCTCACCTGCTGACAGCAGCCAGCCTTGAACCATCCCTGGGCAACGCTGCGAGGTAGGAGGCAGCTCAGTTCTCTGCCACCCTAACTGGAGGAGTAGGGCTGGGGGTGGGGGGCACGGGGATCTCCAGGACTGGGGTAAGGGTGGTCTCAGGGGCCTAGGAAAGCTGTATCCTGAACACCATGGCCGTTTCCTGTCGCCTGTCCCAGGACACAAGTCAGTCCTGGGCATCAGCCTTGGAGGAATGCGCCCCCAAGGGCGCCTGCTCTCCAGCAGCGTTGGGAAAGCCCCAGGGGACTCAGACTGCTGGGCACAACCTTGACCTCTCTCAGGGGGCCCCGGAGCAGAGGCTGTCTCTGCCAGGGAGCAGTCTGGCCTGGAGAGAGCCTCAGGGCAGACTCCCTGGCCCTAGAAGGACCCTGGCAGGAGCAACCCCCCTTTAACTGGACCCCTGTACTTCCCAACACCCCCGCCCCCCAGTGTGGCCCACCATAAGGGCCAAAGCGAACACAGCTTCTCACTTGAAGCCTGGGTCACCAGCCCCCTGGCCCCAAGTTCTTTCCTCCTCTCCCACGGGACCCCAGAATCAGACCCAGGCCCTGCACAAAGCAGAGTGCCCTGGATCCCGCCCACCCAAAACCGCCTCCCAAGGGGCACCAGGCGGGAGGCACCGGGTGTCCAGGGGCTGCTCACCTGGCGGCCCGGCGGGCCCCCTGTCCCTCGCGGTCTCCCTCACCGTCCCGCAGGGCCACTTCCTGCCTTCCAGGCAGCCACTCGGCCCAGCGCTCACCCCGAGGCGCCCCGCCCCGGAGGGCAGGCCTCCTGCCTCCTCCGCCCACCGCGGCCGGCCCGCGCGGTGCCCAACTCAACTTGACTCCCCGGTGACCCGCCCCTCCCCCAGCCCCGCGCTGGGCGGCGAGGGGGCGGCGGGCAGGTATTCCTTCAACCCTGACTTGGGCCGGGGGAACAAAGGTCTCATTGAGCCTCTGGCTGTCTGGTCGGCGAAGCACAAACCTCTTGTATCTGCTCGCTTTTGATCTCACTCCCTCTGAAGCAGCCATAGATTACTCACGGCCCCCGCCGGGCGACTGGCGTGGAGAGGCTGCGCCGCCCGCCCCGTCTCCTTTCTCGCCTTCCTCCCCTGCCCTCCCCGCCAGCTTTTTTACGGTTGAATTTCTGGCAGGAGACCTGAGGCGACTCCCTGCGGGCGCCCTCTGCCCCCTCGCCGTCTCAGGCCACAGGCCTGGGTCCTCTTCCCACCCCCGCCCCAGAACAAGGTCAGCCCGGCTCTGGACTTCTAGTTCCTTCCTGAGGCCCCTCCCCCCACCTGCACCTTGCCTTCCCCTGGGTTTCCTGGCCATAGCGGGCACTCCTGGCTTGGTGTCCTTGGCCCGCCTGCCCCCAGCCCCCAGTCCTCCGCCAAGTGGGGCCCCGAAGCTGTCTGTAGGGTTTCAGGCTAGGCCTGGCAGCCAGCTCTTGGGGTGTGGAGGAAGGGGCAGCCCTGAGACTCCGCACCGGGATGGGGCCATCCCCACCACTCCAGTAGGCCCTGTGGCCCACCTGCAGCTGCTGGCTGCTCAGAGAGCAGAGAGATAGCTGGTCTGAGGACCACCTCCCACAGCCCAGGAGGGGAGGCCTGAGTTCTGCCCCAAATGTCAAGAGATGCGAATGATGACACCCCCACGCCCCCTCCCCCGTGGCTGACCAGCAGAGGGCCCTGCCTCCTGCCTACCACCTGGGCCGCCTCCCCACCCCGCCCTGGCCCTCAGCCGCTCACATAGAGCTGAGTGCAGAGAAACTTCTGCAGGACAGAGGGCCCATTCTTCTCCCGCGGTGGCTCTCACTGTCCTCACGACTCCCCACATTCTGGGGTCGCTAACTCGACCCGGGCCCTGAGCTACCAGAGGCAGGGAGAGGAGGTGGGTCCTGGCAGGAGCAGGGGGGATGCTGAGCGCGATAGTGAAAAAGAAGAGAAAGGCAGTCCGTGGCGGCGCGTGGAAAAGTAAGGGAAATTCTACAGGAGAGGAGAGCTCGCATTCTTTTGCGTGAAAACTGTTTCATGCATGCACTAGGCCTGTTCGTTATAATCACAAACACTATTATTATTCCCATTTGCTAGATGGGGACAACTGAGGCTTACAGAGGCTCTGACACACCTGGGTGGGCATTCTTGCTCTTGGAGAAGGCAGTGGGACCTGAGAGAGAAGAAATGAGCAGGAGAAAGTGGAGGGAGGGCTCAGGGGCTCAGCAGAACAGGAGGAAGGAGCAGGGGGTGGGGGGAGGCGAGGGAAGAGGGAGAGAGCAGGGCTGAGGCCTCCCAGACGTGGCCATGCCCCTCAGGGGCTGGCTGTCAGGCTGGAGGGCAGACCCTCTGAGGGCAAGCAGGTGCCTCCCTTCTCTTGTGACACGTTCCCTAGTGCCAGGCTGGACAGCCCCAGTCCGGTCTGGAAACTGAAGCCTGTGCTTCGGGAGACAGCACAGCCAACTGCACTGACTTCCTATAGGGAGCCCCCAGCTGGGTCAAGAGCACACCATCACCCTGAACCTCAGCCTACACCTGGGGGTGGTTCCAGCTGGGCAGCAGCCAGGAGAGCTCTCCCTGGCAAGGAGAGTGGGGATGGGCTAACGAGCCATTAGCCTTGTGCGGGGATCGCGGAGAGAGAAGGCCACAAAGACAAGGGCTTGGGGGCTCACTGCCCCCAAAGGTAATCAAACACAGGGTACAGGCTGGCGCCGTGGCTCACTAGGCTAATCCTCCGCCTTGCGGTGCCGGCACACCAGGTTCTAGTCCTGGTCGGGGCGCTGGATTCTGTCCCGGTTGCCCCTCTTCCAGGCCAGCTCTCTGCTGTGGCCAGGGAGTGCAGTGGAGGATGGCCCAAGTACTTGGGCCCTGCACCCCATGGGAGACCAGGATAAGTACCTGGCTCCTGCCATCGGATCAGCGCGGTGCGCCAGCCGCAGCACGCTGGCCGCAGCGGCCATTGGAGGGTGAACCAACGGCAAAGGAAGACCTTTCTCCCTGTCTCTCTCTCTCTCACTATCCACTCTGCCTGTCAAAAAAAAAAAAAAAAAAAAACACACACACAAAAAAAAAAACAAAAAAAAAAAAAAACGCAGGGTACACTCCTCAGACTCACACCAGGCACGCAGCAGGTGGTCAGCAAATGGGGTGCTAGTTTAGAAGGGAGATTTGCACCTGGCAGGAAGTTATGTTAGATTAAATCTAGGGTCCTGGGGCAGGTGCTGTGGCGTAGCAGGTAAAGCCACCGACTGCCTGCAGTGCCGGCATCCCGTACAGGTGGCCTGTTTGATCCCAGCTGCTTCACTTCTCATCCTGTTCCCTGCTGATGGCCTGGGAAAGGTGTGGAGGATGTGGCCCAAGTGCTTGGGCCCCTGCACCATGTGGGAAGACCCGAAAGAAGCTCCAAACTCCTGGCTCCTGGCTTTGGATTGGCCCAACTCCAGCAGCTGCAGCCATCTGGGGAGTGCACCAGTGGATGGAAGACCTCTCTCTCTCTGTAACTCCGCCTTCCAAATAAATCAGTAAATCTTAAAAAAAACAAAAACCCAGGTCCCACCAACTTCAAAACGACCCGAGTCCTCACCGGGGCTGACTTCTGAGGGATTTTTATAAACTCAGGTCCCTTCTGGGGACCCGATGGACTGGGAGCCCGATGGACATGTTTTGCCAATGGTGGCAAGGAAAGGGGACATTAGGGAGATGCTGAACAGGTGGCCCCTGCTCTCACCACCCTACTCTCTCCACTAAAATGCAAGCACAGCACATCATTCTAAAGATGTTGGCTGCACGATCTAGGTACACATTTGCTAAAGAAATGAATGATGGAGCCTGCAAACAAAGGCAGCAGACCTAGGTTCTCCCATAGTTCAGGTCTGGTGTGGGTTTGGGGTTCCCTCATGCCCACACTCTCAGGGAGGAGAGTCCCTGAGCTGGGACGGGTTGTGGGGTTCAGGTGCACAGCACAGCCTGGCGATCCAATCCTACTCCCCTTGGGGTTGAAGGGCACTGAGCCTCAGGGGACTTGATTCTGCTGCCTCTGCCCCAAAGAGGCTTCCAGGTTTGGAGTTGGGTTGGGTTGGGCCCAGGGGTGCAGTCCCCGGCCTGGAACTGAACCCGGAGAAGACTGGTTCCAGGGGGACCTCATAGGCTCCTACCCACACTGCCCTGCAGACCTGACCCAGACCAACAGTGTGCGTGCTAAGGAGGACAGGGCCACTAAGCTACAACCCCTCCCTATCTCCACTGCGAAGCCTGAACAGCTCAGGAGGGAAAGCCCAGGGAGGTCAGACAAGAAGAAGCTCCAGCCCGGCACAGGTCCCGGGCTCCTAGGGAAAGGGAGAGATGGGCGACCTGGTGATGGGCTCAGGCAATCAAGGTAGAGAGGAGAGAAAACCAAGGCAGAGCTGGGGGTGGAGAGGCTTGGGTGCCTCCTCAGCCTTGACACGGCTGGCCCC